TATCCTGATGCCTGACCTTTTGTCTCTAATACAAAGTAACACTGAAAGCTAGAAGACAATAGATAATGCCTTCATAATACTAAGGGAAAATAGTTTCCAACTTAAATCTTGACATCCAGTCAAATTATTAATAAGAGAAGACAGCAGAATAAAGATATTTTCAAAACTATAGCATCTCAAAAATTCCCTCACACATGCCTTTTCTGTTACTAGAAGACGTAGCCATCAAAATGAGAAAATAAATCATGAAAATGGAAAATATGGAATTTAAAAAACAGGAGATAAGAAAGACAGGAAAAAAGGAAAAAGAAATTCTCATCATGGTAATGAAGATAGATCAGAGAACAACCACTTTGAAAGAGGCATAGACAGCATCTGGTCTTTAATGAACAGAAGAAGGTGGTTCCAGGAAAAGGTATTCTGGAAAAAAAAAAAAAGACCTGAGTTAACAGGATTTTAGATTGGTTTGGCCATATGGAAATTAGATTGAAATGGAAAAGAAGAATTATCATAAGCTGGATATTCTAGTTAGAAAAAAAGAAAGAAAAAAGAAAAAGAATTATTAATCAATGAAAATGAAGAAAATGAAAAAATAACACAATTATCTACTCTAGGGGAAAAAAAGGCTATACAAGGGAAAAATAGTACACTACTTGGCTTGGTAGTGAATAATATTTAAAAGCACTAAATAGCCGGGCGCGGTGGCTCAAGCCTGTAATCCCAGCACTTTGGGAGGCCGAGGCAGGTGGATCACGAGGTCAAGAGATCGAGACCATCCTGGTCAACACGGTGAAACCCCGTCTCTACTAAAAAAATACAAAAAATTAGCTGGGCATGGTGGTGCGGGCCTGTAATCCCAGGTACTCAGGAAGCTGAGGCAGGAGAATTGCCTGAACCCAGGAGGCGGAGGTTGCGGTGAGCCGAGATCGCGCCATTGCACTCCAGCCTGGGTAACAAGAGTGAAACTCTGTCTCAAAAAAAAAAAAAAAAGCACTAAATATTCACTGCACTCCAGCCTGAGCGAGAAAAAGTGGGAGGAGAGGAGTAGGAGGTGTGTGGTATGATGGAGCTAAGGGTTCATTTACTATGACATACAAGTTAATAGATTTGAAAAGGAAACAAAAATTAAGAAATGTCTTTATAAGATTATTATTCAAAGAGAGGCAAGTTCTACAATTTTTGAAAGAAAAAAGGCTTATGTTTAAGCTGTCATATGAAAAATAACATCATATTTATAAATTCATGGAAATTTTTGTAATTTCAGCTACTTGGGAGGCTAAGACAGGAGGATTGCTCAAACCTAGGAGTTTGAGGCCAGTGTAGGGAACACAGCAAGATTCTGTCTCAATTTAAAAAAAAAAAAAAAGAGAAATTCATGGAAATTTTAGTAGACAGAGGAGAGCTTTTTAAAACCAGAGAACAATCACATTCTTCTATAAAATCTCACAGAGTCACATTTAAGCAGCAAAAGAACAAAATAAGAAATATAAGCCTCAAAATGATAGACAAGCTGCACAGGATATGGAAGAGATCCATGAAATAAGGACAGAAGAATATATGCTTTCTTCGTAAAACATTTGAGAAAAATATTTAGACAGATCACTGTAGTATACTTTAAAATGTAGTCCTGCTTTTGGGTGAGAGGGTAAGTTTTATTTTCTGCTGTATAGTTTGAGTTTTTTCCCAAGGATTAATATTTGCAACTTTATAAAATTACATTTAATGTTAAAATATAATTAAAAACATGGTCCTATGTGATTGAAGGGAGATGGAGAAGTTTTTCAATATCCCCTTCCAGGGCTATGGCATCATGAATGAGCAAGAATTAAAGCACTTGTTTTAAGTAATTCTGAGAACAATCTAACTCAAGTGAGTATCTTTAGTATTACCTCCTTAAAACACGTTTTAGTGTTAGATGACTAATTATGATTCTATGTTTCTGCAATGAAATAAAAATTCCAGTATATCCACGAATGTCTGCCACCCACCTTCCTGATCTAACCTAACAATGTCTCTATTGTGGTCCATGCAAGCTTCCTACCATGGGGAATCAGGAATCAAGCTGATTTTTTTTGCACAATGGAGTCATGTTATGGGATAAGTTTTACCCATTCACAGGCTTAACATGATTCATTTTATGAGTCTGTTGTGAAAAGCTAAGCTAGGGCAATAATATCCCTTTCTTGGAAATCTGAACTGAAGGAAAAAAATGTTCTATTTGGCAGGTGTGGTGATGTACAGACAAGTGGGTGCCAGGATATGAACCCTGGGACTTGGCTATATCACAGATCCTGCTCTTCCTTATGTTTCAATTTACTAAGTTTACTAAGGTTTCTGCCCCTCCTGAGGTCAGGTTATTCAACCTCATTTGAAGAAACTCTCAACTGCCATTTGTACGTTATTATAGCTTCTTAATTGCACACCATGTCACTACAATGAAAATATGCCTAAATCCAAATTCACATGTTACTTACTATTTTAGATATGTTCTCTACGTGCCTGGGTAAAGCAAAAGCTGAATGACTTTCCTAGCATAGACTAAATATTTCCTCAGTATTACCTTCACAATTTTACCTACATTTTCTACCCTAAAAAGCACGTCCCTTAATAAATGCTAAAACCCACATTTAAGAATTAGGTGGCAGCTATAGCACTGAAGAGGTAGTTCTAATTTTAGAAACATTTCCTAGTTCCACCACTTAACTGAAATCTTGAGCACGTCACTTTAGCTCTTAGGACTAGTTTCTTTATCAATGAATGGACCAGATGACTGCTAAGATCCTTTTCAGGTCTATAATTATGTAAATCCTCCTTCAGCAAGCTTTTTGTTCCCAATATTTAGTCTACAGCATTTATTACTCTTATATAACACTCCAGCAAAATGTTAGCTTAACATGTAAGATATGTTTCCCAAAGTGTGACCCGAGGGGGTACATGACATAAATCCAGTTCACATAATGGCAAATGTTATTTTAATAATTCTCTCATTATTTTATTGGGTATTAGCAAAAACCTAACTAGCATATCAAACCAGTGATTTTATGTACTTAGAAAGAGTAATAAGTAAAATATACGTGAAAAATATTCAGTAAGTTCTAGTACAGTTTGTACTCACTCACAAGTGATAAACACCATGAAGGTAGTATGTAAATGACTAGACTATGGAAAAATACAGCCACACAACCTTTGCACATTCATTTAATAATGCACCTACCACCATGTGCCACACAACTGTATTTTCACTAGATGTTGTAGATAAGGTCTGTTTAAGATTTTAATGTTAACAGTGAAATAACTGTGACCCAGATTTATTTTTTGCAATACTATTGGAACAGCACTAAATACAACATCTGTGAATTGGAAACATTCAAAACGGTGCTAAGTATGGAAAACCAAATATTTATTATCAACTGCAAGATTAGCTATATTCCTTAATGAGTTATAAAATATGGGATGGAAGATTAGGTTCCTATCCATCATTTAATGGCTCTATCTACTTTGATGACTTAATATCCTTTAAAATAATTCTTACAAAAATTGTTCTTCAGGCCAGGTACAGTGGCCCCTCCCTGTAATCCCAGCACTTTGAGAGGCCAAGGCAGGCAGATAACCTGAGGCCAGGAGTTTGAGACTAGCCTGGCCAACATAGTGAAATGCTGTCTTTATCAAAAATACAAAAATTAGCCAGGTGTGGTGGTGCATGCCTGCAGTCCCAGCTACTTGGGAGGCTGAGGCACAAGAATCACTTGAACCCAGAAGGAAGAGGTTGCAATGAGCCGAGATTGCACCACTGTACTCCAGCATGGGCAACAAGAACAAAACTCTGTCTCAAAAAAAACAATGTTCTTCAAACTTATAAAGAACTATTCTGCCTTAATTCCTCTTTTCTCCAGTACAATTTCTTTCTTTTTAAAAATAATCTTAGAAAAACTTTCCCACAAAGTACTTGTTATAAGTCTCACACTGGTATTTAGCATTAGATGGAGTTTACCACACACTTTGGGCTGCATTCCCAAGCAATGCAACTCTGGGAAAACTCATTGTGTCAGGCGGCACTACCTGCCTGATTTCCTTCTCTTAATTTTATTTATTTTTATTTTTGAGATGGAGTCTTGCTCCACCACCCAGGCTGGAGTGCAGTGGTGCCATCTCGGCTCACTGCAACCTTCACCTCCTGGTTCAAGAGATTCTCCTGCTACAGCCTCCCCAGTAGCTGGGACTACAAGCGTGTGCTACCACGCTAGGCTAATTTTTGTACTTTCTCTTAATTTTAAATCTCTCTTACCTTGGTATCAAAATTTGGGTGGATGTAGTGGTTCACACTTGCAACCCCAACACTTTGGGAGGCCAAGACGGGTGGATCATTTGAAGTCAGGTGTTTAAGACCAGCCTGACCAACGTAGTAAAACCCCATCTCTACAAATACATAGATATCTATATCTATCTATCTATCTATCTATAAATATTTATATATATAAATGTATATATATAAATATATAGAGATATTTCTATATATTTATAAATATATTTATTTTTATATATTTACATATATATAAATAAATATATGTAAATATAAATAAATATACAAAAATTAGCCAGGCATAGTGGCGAATGCCTGTAATCCCAGCTACTCAGGAGGCTGAGGCAGAAGTGCTTGAATCTTAGAGGCAGAGGTTGCAGAGAGCCAAGATCATGCCACTGCACTCCAGCCTGGGTGACACAGTGAGTGAGACTCCGTCTCCAAAACAAAACAAAATTACACCATATTATCCACTTTTCCTAAAAATATAAAAGGATTGGAAATTAGGAACTCATATCCATTTTCCTAGTCTATAATAACTTTTTAGCATCAATTGTTAATGTTTTGTCTTTTTAAAAACATTAAATCTACTGTTACTTTATATGAATTATTCTAGTATAGCCCAAATATTTCTTTACTACTACTACTATGGATTCAGTAATAGATGGTATTATAGAAAATGATAATATAAAGTTCTTACCTCAGGCCTCAGAGAAGGAAGAATAACAATTTCTTGCAATGCTTGCTTTGCCAAGTCTTGACCAGCTATATCATCAAATTTAACAGCTGTTCCACTAAGAAACAAGATCTCAGTTAGTTCTACAATAAAAATAGGACCCAGTTATTACAAGATAAAGCCTAAGCCCTAAGACATACAGTTATTTTATGTAACTGTTAAACTATAGATAAATCAGTAATAATTTTCTACATTTATAATAATTAAAAACTATCATAAAAATTATGTACACCGGACAAGGTATTTATTATCTATTTCACTTATGACATGTTTTCTAAGTAAAACTGAAAAATAAAAAGTATAAAATAAAACATTTAGATGGCAAAACTTACTTGTCCACAATTTCATTCATTATAAGGTTAGCAAGGTTGCTGTCCACATTCCTAAAATTCTTCAAGTCTTTTTTCTTACGAGCAGTAGTTGTAGGGGTAGAAGGTTTATTTGTCCTATTTGTTTTTGGAGTACCCTTAAAGGATACAAAATTTTAATGTGAAAATACAACCTAATATTTACACTTTTCATAAATAAGTTAAAGTTCACAGGATTCAAGCTTTAAAAATAGAAAAAAGGGGTATAAAAATCCAGAAATTGTATATTTACCTGAAGATACAACTTGTATTCACTAGAGAACTATATTTGGCATAATGTCAGTTATAGAGGATTTTATCCAGAGATTTAGTTTTTACAAAATAAAAACAAATTTTAACCCATGTTAGAATAATGACAAAACTCTAGGTATGTTACTGTTACAAAACATTTATACAGATTAAAATAATTTTAAACATAAATTTAAAATAAAATACATAGCATTACATAAAACAGACTGGGTAAGCAAAACTTAACATTAAATGTCTAATGAGGCCCAAAAAAAGTTTTATGGCAAGTTGCCCTGTGGATTTTTTAAAAAATTAACTTTATGGAAACATATCCATTTTCTAAAGTATTACAAAGTACCTACAATAAACGTAAGCAAGTGTAGTAACTTAAAAATTTTTCTATTTGCAAAAACACAGCAATTAAAGTTACTGTTCCAGAATACCTTATGAGTGGCAGGTGCAGGACCAGATCCCTGTTTCACTCCAGAAACCATGGATAAACCACTGCAACTAGGTGCTCTATGGTGGCCTGAAAGGCCTGCAGATCCAGTTTTCATAACTGTTTTTGAACGAGGCAGTGAATTACTAGTGTGTGTTAAGGGGTCTTTTCTTTTTGGAACAGCTCCACTTTCTGAAAGGAAAAAGTAAAACCATTGTGATTAGAAAATTGTGGCTGAACATAAAGACAAGCAAACATTTCTAAAACCAAGGTAATAATATATTTTTAAATTCAAAAATATTTCAAAATAAGATTTCAATGAGAACTTGTACTAGGGTCTTCATGGGGTGGTCACTAGGTAGATAGGAATATGATTATTAGGTTTTTCCCCCAGATGTAAATTCTAATTTTCTCTCTTTTTGAAACCTATGGTCCAGACTGGAGCATAGTATCATGATCACAGCCCACTGTGGCCTTCATCTTCCTGGGCTCAAGTGATCCTCCCACCTCAACCTCCCAAGTAGCTGGAACAACAGTCATGCACCACCGGACCAGACTAATTAAAAAAAATTTTTTTGCTGGGCGCGGTGGCTCACGCCTGTAATCCCAGCACTTTGGGAGGCCAAGGTGGGTGGATCACGAGGTCAAGAGATCGAGACCATCCTGGTCAACATGGTGAAACCCCGTCTCTACTAAAAATACAAAAAACATTAGCTGGGCATGGTGGCGCATGCCTGTAATCCCAGCTACTCAGGAGGTTGAGGCAGGAGAATTGCCTGAACCCAGGAGGCGGAGGTTGCAGTGAGCCGAGATCGCACCATTGCACTCCAGCCTGGGTAGCAAGAGTGAAACTCTGTCTCAAAACAAAAAAAAAAAAAAATTTTTGTAGAAACAGGGTCTCACTATGTTGCCTAGGCTGGTCTCAAACTCCTGGGCTCAGGTAATCCTCCTTCCTTGGCCTCCCAAAGTACTGGGATTACAGGAGTGAGCCACTGCGCCTGTCCCTATTCTAATTTTCTTATTAAAAACAGTATTTGTGCCTGTAATCCCAGCTATTCAGGAGGCTGAGGCAGGAAAATCGCTTGAACCAGGGAGTTAGAGGTTGCAGTGAACTGAGATCATGCCACTGCACTCCAGCCTGGCAACAGAGAGACACTCCGTCTCAAAAAACACACAAACAAACAAAACAGTATTTGTAAGAAGAAATGACTTCATTTGGGGGAACAGGGAGATGATATAAAAAAGCTATGAAACAAATAAAGCTTCCAAATACTTAGGAAACAAAATGTAGTAAAGGCATTAGGGATAGGATGCCCAGAGGGGAAAAAAATAGCAAAACTATTATAACTATAAATACCATGAAAGTCTGTTCCCATCAAGAGAGTCTTAAAAATTAATCAGCTGGTCTTCCTTCAGGTTCAAAAAAAAAAGAAACTGCCGGGCGCGGTGGCTCAAGCCTGTAATCCCAGAACTTTGGGAGGCCGAGGCGGGTGGATCACGAGGTCAAGAAATCGAGCCATCCTGGTCAACATGGTGAAACCCCGTCTCTACTAAAAATACAAAACATCAGCTGGGCATGATGGTGCGTGCCTATAATCCCAGCTACTCAGGAGGCTGAGGCAGGAGAATCTCTTGAACCCAGGAGGTAGAGGTTGCAGTGAGCCGAGACTATGCCATTGCACTCCAGCCTGGGTAACAAGAGTGAAACTCCATCTCAAAAAAAAAAAAAAAGAAAAAAAGAAAAAAAAATTAATTGGCCAGGTGCAATGGCTCACACCTGTAATACCAGCATTTTGGGAGGCCGAGGCGGGCGGATCACGAGGTCAGGAGTTCAAGACCAGCCTGGCCAACATGGTAAAACCTGTCTCTACTAAAAATACAGAATTAGCTGGGAGTGGTGGCAGGTGCCTGTAATCCCAGCTACTCAGGAGGCTGAGGCAGGAGAATCTCTTGAACCCAGGAGGTAGAGGTTGCAGTGAGCCGAGACTATGGCACTGCACTCCAGCCTGGGTGACAGAGCTGGACGCCGTCTCAAAAAAAAAAAAAAAAAATCAACTTTAGGCCAGGTGTGGTGGCTCATATCTGTAATCCCAGCATTTTGGAGGCTGACGAAGGCGGATCACCTGAGGTCAGGAGTTCAAGACCAGCCTAGCCAACATGATGAAACCCCATTTCCACTAAAAATACAAAAATTAGCTGGGCATGGTGGCACATGCCTGTAGTTCCAGCTACCTGGGAAATTGAGGCAGAAAAATCCGTTGCAGTGAGCCCTGATCACACCACTGCACTCCAGCCTAGGTGACAGAGAGGGACTCTATCTCAAAAGAGAATCATCATCAATTTTAATTGAAAGAGTATAAAGATGCACTTTTACATATGCCAAGTATTACATGCACTGTATGTATGTAAATGAATATTTATAGAATACCTCCAATTAAGTTAAAAAGGTTATTTGTCCAGTATTGCTCTACTACATATATTACAGGTTTTTAAATGTTTAAATCTCACCGCTCCTAAATATTTTTGTATGCTACACATCAACATCAGTGTTTATTTACAATGCTTACTGTGAAAACAAATGTTAAATAAATCAGTAAGCAAATAAAGAGTGGCCAAAAAAAAGACAAAAGCCTCAAGTTTGCTTTTGTAATCAAATCTCTTAATACGGTTTAAGAACACTAAAGACTAAACTAGTATAGGAAATCAGCTTATTTAGAGAACCAGTTTACCTTTATTGTAAGTTAACCATTATAAAATCAGAAAGTATAAATGAAATTCAAGTTAAAAATAAAAACCCACACTGGGCCAGGTGTGGTGGCTCATGCCTGTAATCCCAGCACCTTGTGAGGCTGAGGTGGGCAGATCCCAAGGTCAGGAGTTTGAGACCAGCCTGACCAACACGGTGAAACTCTGTCTCTACTAAAAAGAAAAAAATTAGCTGGGCATGGTGGCACATGCCTGTAATCCCAGCTACTCAGGAGGCTGAGGCAGAAGAATTGTTTGAACCTGAGAGGCAGAGGTTGCAGTGAGCCGAGATCACGCCATTGCACTCCAGCCTGGATGACAGAGTGAGATTCCTTCTCAAAAACAAAACAAAGGCCAGGCATGGTGGCTCATGCCTGTAATCCAAGCACTTTGGAGGCCAAGGCAGGCGGATCACCTGAGGTCGGGAGTTCAAGACCAGCCTGACCAACATGGTGAAACCCCGTCTTAAAAAAAAACAAAAAAAAAGCCATATTCAGGATACCTTAAAACAAGGTTCTGGAATAAATAAGACCTAATCATTGACAGGGCAACAGGGTGATTATAGTCAATAATAACTTAAGGCCAGGCTTGGTGGCTCACACCTGTAATCCCAGCACTTTGGGGAGGCCAAGGCAGGCAGATCACAAGGTCAGGAGTTCGGACTAGCCTGGCCAACATGGTAAAACTCCATCTCTACTAAAAAATACAAAAATTAGCCAGGCATGGTGGCACACAGGAGAATTTCTTGAACCCAGGAGACGGAGGTTGCAGTGAGCTGAGATCGTGTCACTGCACTCCAGCTTGGGCAACAGAGCGAAACTTCATCTCAAAAAAAAGCTATACCAGCCAGGCACAGTGGCTCACACCTATAATCCCAGCACTTTGGGAGACTGAGGTGGGAGAAATGCTTAGGCCCAGGAGTTTGAGACCAGCCTGGCCAACATGGTGAAGCCCCGTCTCTACAAAAAATACAAAAATTAGCTGGGCATGGTGGCGCCTACCTATAGTCCCAGCTAATTTCCGCTGTACTCCAGCCTGGAGACAGTGAAACCCTATCTCAAAAAAATAAATATATAAATAAAGCATACAATTTGATGAGTTTGTAAAAATGTGTATAACTGTCAAATAGCCATTAAAACCAAGACACAAAATGTTTCCATCATAGCCACAAGTTTACTTGTGTCCATTTGCACTCTATCTTCCTCACCACTCCTCGACCCAGAAAACTCTTCATCTGTTTCTAACCCTACAGGAGTCATCAATTTAGTAATTCCTAAGGAGCTGGGTTCAACGTCATTGAATCTTTCTTTTGCTATGTCTAATCTGCTCTTGAGGCTGTCTGTAAATTTTTAATTTCAGTAACTACACTTTTCAACTTTAGAATATTATTTTTATTGTCCAGTTTATATCATCAGCTTAGATTTCCTGTTTGATAGTTGATGCCATATTTTCTTTCAATTCTTTAAACATATAATAATAGCTGCTTTGAAGTCTTTGCTAAATCCAACATCTGGGCCCATTCATAGCATCTATTGATTGCTTTTGTGTGTGTGTGAATAAGAGTTATACTTTACTTTTTCTTTGCCTGTCTAGTAATTTTGACTTGAAAATTGGACAATGTATATTAGAAAACACATTCATTGTAGTAATAAGTAGACTTTGGTATGACTATTTCCTAAGAGAGGTGACAGAGCTCATCCAAGGTTTTACATCGAGAATGTTCCAGAAGTGAACAACACTAATAAACTATTAATAGGTCTGAGTGATCTACTTGGACTCACTGTGTATCAAACATCAATGCTGTGTAAATTAGCTATAAAGCCAATATGCCCTACCAACTGGAAAACAGAAAAGAACAGATTATGGGTTGAATATCCCTTATCCGAAATGCTTGGGACCAGAACTGTATAGGATTTTAAAATTTGTTTGGATTTTGCAATGTTTGCATTATACTTATTGATTCAGCATCCTTAACCCAAAAATCCAAAATCTAGAATACTCCAATGAGTATTTCCTTAGAGCATCATGTGAGTGCTCAAAAAGTTTTGGATTTTTGGCCAGACACAGTGGTTCATGCCTGTAATCACAACACTTTGGGAGGCCAGGGTGGGTGTATCACTTGAGGTCAGGAGTTTGAGACCAGCCTGACCAACATGGTAAAACTTTCTCTCTACTAAAAATATAAAAAATTAATTGAGTGTGGTGGCAGGTGCCTGTAGTCCAAGATACTCAGGAGGCTGACGTGGGAGAATCGCTTGAACCCACGGGGCGGGGCAGGGGGGTTCGGAGGTTGCAATGAGCTGAGATTGCACCACTGCACCCCAGCCTGAGTGACAGAGGAAAGTTCCATCTCAAAAAAAAAAAAAAAAAAGTTTTGAATTTTGGAGCATTTCGGATTTCAGGTTTCATATTAGGGATATTCAACTTGTACTAGCGATATGAAATAAGACAAATTTCAATTTTTTTCAAACAGGTCCCAGGAAGGGAATGCTGCTTTGGAGGACAGGATGGGGCACACAGCAGAAAAACATGATGGGGTCTAGCATGTGAAATGAAGTAGAAGAGAATCAAGAAAACAAGGAAAGGAAAGACAAAACCAACTCTTCAGGGCTAGAGAATTTTTTCTATTTATCCTAGTAGAATTGTTAGGATCTCAAATACATATTTTAGAAACTTTATATGTGATGTATTCTTACATTTCTTTTTTTTTTTTCCCCCAGTAAGTACCTTCTGAAAATGTCAGTCTTCACAGCCATGCTAGAAGAAACAGGCAAAATACTTATATCTATGCTTGAAATGGCATTTTAAATCAGACATAGGAAGGAATGGAAGAGGAAAATTGCCACTAACTATACTGTAAGACCAAACCAACATGAGAAGTCCTTAAGGGAGGCATGAAGTCACAAGGGAAAGAGTTATGACCAGCTGTTTCTTCTGTCCATAGAAATCCTTTTACTTTATCTCTTCTCTAGTAAAACCTTACAAGTTTTGTATCACATATGAATAAAAAAGACAGTTGTTTTATAGCCTAACCTAAGGTTGTTCTGCTATAATCTGAACAAAGTAATATTTAATATAATTTAAGCCCCGCACATGAAACTATTGCTTAAAAAAAAAATCACCAATAAACCTAGCTGGACTCTCACAAACAAATATATGAAAAAATGCTCAATATCATTAATTATCAGGGAAATGCAAATCAAAACCACAACAAGGTAACTCAACCCCAGTTGGAATGGCTATTATCAAAAAGACAAAAAAAGTACCAAATGCTGGTGAGGATGTGGATAAAGTGAACTCTTATACACTACTTTTAGGAATCCAAACTAGTAAAGCTACTATGGAGAAGAGTATAGAGGTTCCTCAAAAAACTACAAATAGAACTACCATATGAGCCAGCAATCCCACTACTGGGAACTTATCCAAAGAAAAGAAAACCACTATATTGAAGAGACATCTATACCCCGTGTTTACTGCAGCACTATTCACAACAGCCAATATATGGAATCAACCTAGGTGTCCAAGAACAGATGAATGAATAAAGAAAATGTTGTATATATACACACAGAATATTATTTTTTAAAAGTTAATCTCATAGAAATAAAAAGTAGAACAGCCCAGCGCGCAGTAGGTCAGGCCTGTAATCCCAGCACTTTGGGAGGCCGAGGCAGGCAGATTACAAGGTCGGGAGTTCAAGACCAGCCTGACCAACATGGTGAAACTCCATCTCTACTGAAAATACAAAAATTGGCCAAGTGTGGTGGCAGATGCCTGTGGTCCAGCCTGGGTGACAGAATGACACTCCATCTAAAAAAACAAACAAACAAACAAAAAAACAAAAGTAGAACAGAGGATACTAGAGGCTGAGAAGGGTAGGCAAAAGGGAAGAAGGAATAGGATGGAATTTATTAATGGATGTAAAAGTATAGCTAGACAGGAAAAATAAGTTCTAGTGTTCCATATGACTGCAGGATGACCATGGGTAACAGTATATCATTTCAAATAGCTGGAAAGAAGGTATTAAATGTTTCCAACACAAATAATAATAAATGTTTGGAATGACAGATATGATAATTACCTTGATCTAATCACTATATATTATATGTATCAAAACATCACTGTGTACCCCATGAACATGTACATTATCTGTCAATTAAAAAAAAGTTTTTATTATTATTATAGTTTAAGTTCTGGGATACATGTGCAGAATGTGCAGGTTTGTTACATAGGTATATACATGCTAGGGTGATTTGCTACATACATCACCCCAAAACGTTTTAATAAAAAACTAGCTCAGATGTCAGAGAACCTAAGAAATGGAGTGTCTGCCACCCAAAGAACACAAAACAGAAAGACATTTAATCTTCTGTAGAAGTTGATATCCAAAATTTATCAAGGACAGAGTTAGTCCATAGTAAATAATCTTGCAGTATTTCTCCTCACTATGTGAAGCTTCAGATTTCTTCTATCAAGTAAAACATTCACATATAGTATATATGAAAACTGATATGCAATAAAAATTGATAAATAAAAAATTTAAATGTGTCTTAGAAAACACTATTAAAAAATTAGTAAAGCTATCCATATAAAAGCACAAAAGCCACAACAGAAACAAAAGAATATTTTAATCACTTATGGCAATGTACACCTTCATATTTTTAATCTGAAAAATTAGAGGTCACAAAACATGCAAATAAAGCATGTTAGAATGACTACACCTGATTTGTTGCATGTTTACATACTATGAATGAAAGGGATACTATATTTTCAACATAGCCCTGCAAAAGCATGAACAATTAAATCTACCATTATAAAATCAAATCAACATTATCAGGTTAAGTGAGACTCTACTTTGCATGCAAGCTTTATTATTTTATGTTAGTTAACCTAAACCCACCTGACTGGAGATGTCCATTGCGGCATGCCAAGTTAGTATTGTCATTATAGACGTCCGTTTGTGACTTGGAAAATGGCAAAACTGGTTGCATCTTCTCTATGCCACAGAGGGGGTAAAAAACAAAGAAAAAATAAGCAAAAAGAAAAAAGATAATAAACAAATAAAATGTGCATGTGAAATGAAAAATTACTCAAGGTGTTATCAGATTGTTACATGGTAAAAAGTTTTTGCATTTATATAAAATTATCTTTTAAAATACAATTAGTAAAAACTCAGTCATGAAAATAGCGGAAATTAACAAGTGAATGGCTATATTCTAAATATGCCTTATTCAGTTTGGTAACCTGAGGCAGTTAGATATCACTATCATCAACAGAAAATATTTACTGAATATCTAGTATGTCCAAATCACTGTTGGGAGAGTGCCATGGAGATTATTGTTGGTCTTGGTCTTGCTCTGTCACCCAAGCTGGAGTACAGTAGTGCCATCATGGCTCATTGTGGCCTCAACCCCTTGGGCTCAAGTTATCCTCCTGCCTCAGCCTCCTGAGTATTTGACACTACATACACATACCACTATGCCCAGCTAATTTATTTTTTGTAGAGACAGGGTCTCAATATGTTGCACAGGCTAGGCTCAAACTCCTGCCCTTACGCGATCCTCCTGACTTAGCCTCCCAAAGTGCAGGGATTACAGGCACGAGCCACAGTTCCTGGCCCCATAAAGATTAAAAAATGAATCACAGTTTCTACCATTTAGATATTTATTAAATATAGGCAACTTATAATAAAACTGTATATATTTTTTTAAAAACTGCATAGTGCCAAGCACGGTGGCTCACGCTTGTAATCCCAGCACTTTGGAAGGTTGAGGCAGGCGGATCACCTGAGGTCAGGAGACCAACCTGGCCAACATGGTGATACCTCATCTCTACTAAAAATAAAAAAATTAGCTGGGCGTGGTGGCAGGTGCCTGTAATCCCAGCTACTCCCAGGCTGAGGCAGGAGAATCGCCTGAACCCTGGAGGCAGAGGTTCAGTGAGCGGAGATCGTGCCACTGCACTCCAGGCTGGGCGACAAGAGCAAAACGCCATCTCAAAAAAAAAAAAAAAGACTGCATAGTACAAAAGAAAAATCACTGAAAAAGCTTTACAGAGCAAGTGGGCCATGAACTGGCTAGAATTTGTAAAGACAAAAAGAAAGGACATTTCAGGAAAGGAGAACAGCATTTAAAATAGCACAGAACGAAACTATAAGGAGTGTTTAGGAAATGCTATATTTGGTCACATTAACATATGTCAGGCAAAAAACAGAGGCAATAAAGCAGAGTCAAATAAGCATGCTTCAGTAACTGTATGCACAAACAGTACCCTACTGTTTAAACACACACATGCACAGCTGCATACAAAAAGATTACCTCTAAGAAGAACCCAGAGAAATTGATAGTAACAGCTGCCTCTATGGAAGAGAAATGGGTAGCTGGGACATAGAATGGGATGGATGCTTTTCATACTCAAACTTTTTAAAATTTTGTGACATATGTCTATATTACCTATTTTTTATATTAATTAAAAGGGATTATTTCAATCCTACTCCCACTTCAAATAACAACAAAAAATGCTCCCAAGATCTGGGTCTCGTGAGTCTAGCAATTGAAGCCCAAGAAGCTAGTAGCAGTCTGATCCTTCTCACTCTACACCACTGCCGCACTCTCTTCCCCATGTGGAGTATTTTGCTGAACCATAACTGATTCTTTTCTTCTGTACTAGCAAGTCAATGAATACATGAAAAATGCAGCACATATATATTAACTCTCTTAAACTTTCACTTCTAAGGTTTGACAAGCACGTACCGTGCTTGGTTTATGGTGCAACCACATGCCTTTGGGACAGGTCAAATAGCAGCTACCCTTTTTGCACAAAACACAGAGTACTGCAAAGCTTTTGTATCCTAGAACTGGCTGATACAATATACCTCCTTGGAGGGTTTTTTTTTTTTTTTTTTTTTTTGGAGCTAACAGGTAGGTCATCTGATTTTCCTCAATGATAAACTCTTTAAACCATACTGTTATACAGAAACCATTTATCTTAGTAAAAGCATGAATCAGCAAAAACACTGATTTGTAAATGTAAACATTTGTACATAAATGGTATCAATTAATACCCTCTTCAATGAAATGTAATAAAAAGTTCACAGAAACATTCATTATGTAATAAAAAGGAACAAATTATATTCTTAGTTTTTATAGCTAGGAATAAAAAACTAGGATTTGTTTTCACATGCATAGCATTTAGATTTATAAGTGTAGAAACAGACACATATAGTATAACAGTACACTGCTTCTGTGAACCTGCTCCAATTCACTTTTTCTTTTTTTTTTGGAGATGAAGTCTCGCTCTGTCGCCCAGGCTGGAGTACAGCAGCACGATCTTGGCTCACTGCAACCTCCACCTCCCAGGTTCAAATGATTCTCCTGCCTCAGGCCTCCTACTCCCCCCAGTAGCTGGGATTACAGGCACATGTCCCCACGTCCAGCTAATTTTTGTATTTTAATATGAGGTTTTGCCATGTTGGCCTGACTGATCTCAAACTCCTGAATGCAGCTGATCCGCCTGCCTTGGCCTCCCAAAGTACTGGGATTACAGGTGTGGGCTACTGCGCCCAGCCCCAATTTATTTTCGTTAAAAGACTAGCGCTTCTTCTTTTTAGAATGACTAGGGTTGTATAGATTGATCAATGATTTAAATTAAAGCAGTAACCTTGCTTCTTCACCACCTCACATCCAATCCCCACACAGTCATCTGAGTGATCTACCAGAGGGGAAAATCTTGCCACATAACTCTTCTACTTAAAACCCTTTAGTGGCTTCCCATTGCCCAAAGATGAGAACTCAAGTTCCTTCATATGACAAACCAGGCCATCTATAATCTGCCTATGTCTCTCTTTTTTTTTGAGACAGAGTCTTGTTCTGTCACCCAGGCTAGAGAGCAGTGGTGCAATCTCGGCTCACAGCAACCTCTGTTTCCCAGGTTCAAGCGATTCTCCTGCCTCAGCCTCTCAAATAACTGGGACTACAGGTGCCTGCCACCACACCTAATTTTTGTATTTTTAGTAGAGACAGGGTTTCACCATCTTGGCCAGGCTGGTCTTGAACTCCTGACCTTGTGATCCACCTGCCTCAGCCTCCCAAAGTGCTGGGATTACAGGCATGAGCCACCACACCCAACAGGATCTGCCTATATCTCTTATGCCTCAGCAATCCCAACTTCATGTCTCTACCTGCACCCTCCCCTACTCACCACATGTTTTTCTTGCCTTTGAGTCTATGTTCATGCCATCACATAAAAGATATCTTTTCTCACATTCGTTTTCTTTCAGACAGGGTCTTATTCTGTCACCCAGACTACAGTGCAGTGGTGCACTCATGGCTCACTGCAGCCTCGACCTCCTGAGCACAATTGATCTTCCTGCCTCAACCTCCTAAGTAAGTAGCTGGGACTACAGGTGCACATCCCCACTACTGGCTAATTTTTTTTTTTTTTTTAAGAGATGGGGTCTCACTATGTTTTCCAGGCTGGTTTCAAACTCCTGGTCTCAAGCAATACACCTGACTCAACCTCCCAAAGTGCTAGGATTATAGGCATGAGACACTGAGCCCAGCCCTCAAATTCTTTCATAACTTTTATTTATTTATCTTTTTAAGTGTATACTTTTAGGTTTCACTTCTAGGAAGCTTTCTTTTCTTTCTTTAACCAGCTTTGTCACAAGAGGAAGCTTTCTTAGCACCTATTTTCCACCCTTACAAAATATTTGTAATCCCCATCCTGCAGTGATGACTATTTATGTGTCTGTTGCTCCCACTGTATTATGAGGTCCTTAAACACAGGACCATTTTTCCAATCTATCAGTAAGTTCAGTTGTTCAACCTTCCAAGTATAATCATAATCCAACCACTTGTTACCGTTTGTCATGATACTACCCTGGCCCAAGCCTCTATCACTTTTCTCCTAGACGACTGCAACAGTATCCCAATTACTCTCCCCGGTGATCCTTCTAAAATTTAAGTCAGAGTATTTCGTTCCTTTCCTAAAAATCTTTTTTTTTTTTTTTTGATACAGAGTCTTGCTCTGTTGCCCAGGCTGGAGGGCAGTGGCATGATCTTGGCTCACTGCAACCTCCACCTCCTGGGTTCAAGTGATTCTCCTGCCTCAGCCTCCTGAGTAGTTGGGATTACAAGCACATGCACCATACCCAGCTAATTGTTGTATTTTTAGTAGAGATGGGGTTTCACTATGTTGGCCAGGCTGGTCTCGAACTCCTGACCTCAGGTGGTCCACCCACTTTGGCCTCCCAAACAACTGAGATTAGAGGCATGGGCCACCACACCAGGCTACTTTCTTAAAAATCATATTTATAACTGCTCCCCATTTCACAGGTGGTAACCCATTTCACAGGCGGTAAAATCTCAAGTCCTCATGGTAGCCTTTACAGCCCTATGTATTGTGACAATCCCTTTTCCCATGAGTTATCTGACTTTATCTCTACTGTAATCTCCTTGCTGGGACACAATGGCCTCTTTGCTGCTTCACAAACATACCAGGTATATTCTCTTAAGGCTTTGTATTAGCTCTTGCTTCTCTGTGGAGCATATTGTTCCAGGTACCATCATGGCTAACTCATGGCAACTTCTCAAAGAGGGGACCATCCTGTTTAAAACCAAAAACCCAAACCAGGACAGAGTGTGGATGGCTCATGCCTGTAATCCCAACACTTTGGGAGGACAGGGCAGATGGAAAACTTGACCTCAGGAGTTTGAAAACAGCCTGGGAAATATGACAAAACCCCATCTCTACAAAAAAATACAAAAATCAGCTGAGTATGGCGGCATTCCTGTGGTCCCAGCTACTTGGGAGGGTGAGGTAGGAGAATCGCTTTAACCTGGGAAGAGGAGTTGCAGTGAGCTGAGACTGTACTGCACTCCAACCTGGCTGAGAGTGAGACCCCATCTCAAAAAGAAAAAAACAAACAAAAAAAACAGGCCCAGGCAAGGTATGATGGCGCATGCCTATACGCCCAGCTCTTTGGGGGGCCAACGTGGATGGATCACCTGAGGTCAGGAGTTCAAGACCAGTCTGGTAACATGGTGAAACCTAGTCTCTACTAAAAATACAAAAATTTAACCAGGCTGGTGGTATGCACCTGTAATCCCAGCTACTCAGGAGGCTGAGTCAGGAAAATAGATTGAACCCAGGACGCAGAGGTTGCAATGAGCCAAGATGGCACTGCTGCACTCCAGCCTGGGTGAAAGAGAGAGACTTTGTCTCAAAAAAAAAAAAAAAAAAAAACCAGGCCAGGTACTGTGGCTCACACTTGCAATCCCAACACTTTGGGAGGCTGAGGCGGGCAGATCATTTGAGGTCAGGAGTTCAAGATCAGCCTGGCGCAACATGGTGAAACCCCACCTCTACTAAAAATACAAAAAATAGCAGGGCATAGTGGCGGATGACTGTAATATTGGCTATTTGGGAGGTCTGGAGGCTGAGGCAGGAGAAGTGCTTGAGCCCAGGAGGTGGAGGTTGCAGTGAGCAGAGACTGCGCCACTGCACTCCAGCCTGGGTGACAGAGTGAGACTTCATTTCAAAACAAAAACAAAAACAAAACACCAAACCACCGCTTGTCCATTCCTAAACCCCCTTACTGTGTTTCACTTGTTTTTTTCCCATATATTTACCACCTTCTAATAAACTGTATAACTAATTTTTTATGTTTGTTGTCTACTACCTGTTTTATCTCTGTTGGAATATAAACTCTATGGAGGAGGGATCCTTGTCTATATCCCAAGTGCCTACAACAGTGTCTAACACATGCTAGTTACCAAATAAATATTTGTTGAGTTAATAAGTTGTTTATAACCCTTGGCACTATACCTGGTACAGAGCAGGGCCTTAATAAATGAATGTTAAATGAAGCTATGTTAAAAAAAAAAAAAAAAGGTATAATAGCCAGGTATACCAATTTGCTTACATTAAAATTATCTTTTTATCAATAGCAGGTTTTACAGTTAAGCTTTGCTCTAAGGTTCACTATCACTAAACCAAAAATAAATAATATATATGATCTTTCCCATTTTTATCAGAGGGGCTACATCCTCTCAAACCAGTCTGTGTTAGGAATTCCCAGGATCATTCTCCCCATTCTCCATCCTAATTAGATACCTATCTGGCACCACACCTCTGAAAAACTCCAATTTTTAACCAGCACATAATAAACAAATATGTGTTACTATTAATACACATTTGTACACAGGTCATTTTTACTGTCTTTGGTATATCTACTCTCAGATCTTTTGAGTTACTGAAAGACAGGAATATGTTGATGTCACCTTTCCCATCTACCAGTCTTCACTTTTAAAGTAACATCTTTCGTAAACAGGCACAAAGCATTTTTGAGGGTGAAAATAGACACCAACTTGAAAATATCCAAAATATTAAATCTTTAAATGACTAGCTTCATATTACATTACATATCCTCTTTTGGTTCTCTAGTTCACTAACACAAATAAGAAAGTACAAAGTCACACTCAAAAACAATTCCCTAATTGATGAGATATTAATAATTCTACACTTGATCTTAGCCAAAAGGCTGAGAAGCGATGAGACATTAATACTTCTAATGTCCTATATAACTTCAAACAAAACATAAAAACCAATTCTTAGTCACTTTGAAAGATGTTACAAAATGCTCCATAATCAAATTTATTCTGTATGATACATACAATACTTTATATACACACTGAAAAGCTTTAAAGATAAAACACGAGGTTGGGTACAGTGGCTCAAGCCTGCAATCCCAGCACTTTGGGAGGCTGAGGTGGGCAGATCACAAGGTCAGGAGTTCCATACCAGCCTGGCCAACATGGTGAAACCCCATCTCTACTAAAAATACAAAAAAAATTAGTCAGGCATGTTGGCACACTCCCATAATCCCACACTCCTGTAATCTCTACTCCTGCAGAGGCAGGAGAATCACTTGAGCCCGGGAGGTGGAAGTTGCAGTGAGCCGAAATCACACCACTGCAAAATGAACCAACAAAACAAAAACAAACCAAAACAAAAACAGATAAAACAACAAAAACAAAACGAACCAACAAAACAAAAACAGATAAAACACACAGAAAGTATGAATTAGAACCATCAACTATTTTACTGCAACAAACTTTAAAACATTAATTATATTTGACCCAGTAATAACTTTCATTTAGAAAGGAAGAAGGCAAATCCTGTCAGCCACAGAAGCCGGGAACACTACTTTGTTATTCATCTGAAAGTATTAGGGGTTACTTTTTTAACTGTGGGGGGTAAAAACCCTACAAACACAATGACCACATAGAAGTAAATGACACATAGGAGTAAAAGAATGAAAGAATGAATAAAATGTATATGTATGTGTATATGAATATATCTTTCTACCTAAGCAAAGGAGGTGGTTATAGTCAAATAAATAGATGAATAAAAACCAACATTTTAAAGCACTTGCTATGGGTTAGGTTCCTTTAATAATTCCATGGTCAGAAATATGAGATATTATTATTAGCTAATAATATTAGCTTCAGCCTGGCATGGTGGCTCATGCCTATAATCCCAGAACTTTAGGAGGCTGAGATGGGTGGATCACTTGAAGTCAGGAGTTCAAGACCAGCTTGCCCAGCGTAGTGAAACCCAGTATCTACTAAAAATTTAAAAATTAGGCTGGGCATGGTGGTGCACGCCTGTAATCTAAGCACTTTGGGAGGCCAAGGTGGGTAGATCACCTGAGGTTGGGAGTTCAAGACAACCCTGATCAACAGGGAGAAACCCCCTCACTACTAAAAATACACAATTACCCAGGCATGGTAGCAGCTACTTGGGAGGCTGAGGCAGGAGAATCGCTTGAACCTGGGAGACAGAGGTTGCAGTGAGCTGAGATTGCGCCATTGCACTCCAGCCTGGACAAGAGCAAAACTTTGTCTCAAAAAAAAATTAGTCAGGCATGATGACAGGCACCTGTAATCCCAGCTATTCGGGAAGCTGAGGCATGAGATTAGCTTGAACCTGGGACGTGGAGGTTGCACTGAGCTGAGATCACACCGCTGCACTCCAGGCGGGGCAAGACAGCAAGACTCTGTCTCAAAAAATAACAATAATAATAAGGCTGACCCAGCCTTGCAGTGACTTGCAGTGACTCAAACCTGTTAATCCCAGCACTTTGGGAGGCCGAGGTGGGCGGATCACGAGGTCAGGAGTTCAAGACCATCCTGGCTAACACAGTGAAACCCTCTCTCTGCTAAAAATACACAGAATTAGCCAGGTATGGTGGTTCATGCCTGTAGTTCCAGTTACTCGGGAGGCTGAGGCAGGACAATTGCTTACATGTGGGAGGTGGAGGTTGCAGTGAGCTGAGATCACCCCACTGCACTTCAGCTTGGGTGACAGAGTGAGCCTCTGTCTCAAAAATAAAAACAATAAAATAATAATAATATTATCTTCATATTACAAATTAGATAAAAAAGACTCAGACATGCAAAGTAACTTACCCCAAGTCACAGGGCTACAAATAAATAAGGTTTGCCTGCTTACCAAATATCTACTATTTCTATCCACCAACGTATGATAGAGCCACTCATATGTAGTGGGTTTTGTTCTGCTTTTTTTGAGTAGTAGATTTCACTTAATAATGTATTTTTAAAATCTACACCATCAAACAGAAGACAAGGAAAAACTTCTATTACAGTTGATGAATGCTGAAAGAATGATAGAATTAAAATATCACTGGGCATCAGTCATAGTTAACTGCTGCTAACTTCACAAGATGGAAGAACTAATGATGAACACACACAAACACAACCACCTAGGAAGTAGGTCTTATTAAAAAACAAAAATCGGCCAGGCGCGGTGGCTCAAGCCTGTAATCCCAGCACTTTGGGAGGCCGAGGCGGGTGGATCACGAGGTCAAGAGACCGAGACCATCCTGGTCAACATGGTGAAACCCCGTCTCTACTAAAAATACAAAAAATTAGCTGGGCATGGTGGCGCGTGCCTGTAATCCCAGCGACTCAGGAGGCTGAGGCAGAATTGCCTGAACCCAGGAGGCGGAGGTTGCGGTGAGCCGAGATCGCGCCATTGCACTCCAGCCTGGGTTACATGAGTGAAACTCCATCTCAAAAAATAAATAAATAAATAAATAAATAAATAATAAAAATCAACTTTCATTGTGATCAAGGCTCTATATCCAACTATCATTTAACAGGGGGAGGAAAGAAGAACATGTTAAAAGTTACCACAAAAGATTCACACAGCAAAAGTCAGGCTGTAGGAAATACTACATAACAAAGATCTGGTTTCATCAACAAATAAATTGTAAAGGGCCAGACAGTAAATATTTTAGGTTTTAAGGGCAGTGTAGTCTCTGTATCAACTATTCAATTCTGTCATTGTAGCATGAAAGCCATAGATAATACCTAAAGAAAGGAAAAGCTGTGTGCCAATGAAACCTTATTTATAATAATAATAGGCAGTGAGCTGGGATGGCCCATCAGCTGCAGTTTGCCAGCCCTTGCTATAAATAAATCAAAACCGACAGTGAGGTGGATAATTATCAAAGCTGAGAGATGAATAATTAGGAGTTCATTATGCTCTTCTGTTTTTTGTATATGTTACACATTTTCTTTATGTTAAAAAGCCTGGACCACATTTTAAATCACTGATCTATTTCCTTCTACAATTAAAGTTTCATCAAATATATATTTCCAATACATCTCACATCAAATTACACATTAATTGATACCTAGAAGTTGTAAGCGGTCCTTGGCCATAACCAAATTAGTCATCATTTTAGCCTGAAGGCGTCTAGCTCTTTCACACTGTTCGCCTGAAAGAAAAAAAGAATTAATTAAAATATCTACATTTCCCAACTAATATTATTTCAAGATAAATCATCTCCCCAACTACATTCATGGAGAGTCACAGTCTATACAGAAATTTAAAAAAATAAAATATGTACCCAAAAGAAAGAAAAAAGAAGACATTTTTAAAATATTATCTTCAGGGCAGGTGTTGTGGCTCACTTCTGTAACCCAGCACTTTGGGCAGCTGAAACAGAAGGATTACTTGAGCTCGGGAGTTCAAGACCAGTCTGGGCGCCTGGGCAACATAATCAGACCTAGTCTCTACTTTAAAAAAAAAAAAAAGATTAGCCGAGCCTGGGAGGTTGAGGTGGAAGGATCACTTCAGCCCAGGAGGTGGATGTTGCAATGAGAGGTGACCGCATCATAGCACTCCAGCCTGGACAACAGGCTGAGACCCTGTCTCAAAAAATATATATAACAGCCACAAAAAAAAATTAGTTTCTCATGATTGCTTCCAACCTACTGTAGTATTTCATAGATTTCAGGTCTATTTCATAGAGTCTAAAACTTTTTTCCCCCACATTTTAAAGTATTTGAAATTGGGATTTGTTTTACAACCAATGTTAACTTACTAATGCTATCCAACAGGCTGCAGTCATAACCTAGGCTTTTCATTGCCCATGCATGCACAAATTTGGTCACAGATATTAATATTGTTGTTGTTGTTGTTGTTCTTGTTTTTGAGACAGAGTCTTGCTCTGTCGCCAGGTTGGAGCACAGTAGCGCAGTCTCAGTTCACTGCAACCTCCACCTCCAGGGTTCAAGCGATTCTTCCGCCTCAGCCTCTCAAGTAGCTGGGACTACAGGTGCATGCCAAATGCCTGGCTAATTTTTGTATTTTTAGTAGAGACGGGGTTTCACCATGTTGGCCAGGATGGTCTCGATCCCTTGACCTTGTGATCTACCCGCCTTGGCCTCCCAAAGTGCTGGGATAACAGGCATGAGCCACTGTGCCCAGCTATTGTTGTTATATCTATGTCTAGACTAAAACAGCCTCTTCAATAAGATTAAAATTCAAATTCTAAGTGATGAAAAGAACATATACTTTGATTAACTGTTTTTGTCTCTTAGTGGTATAATATAAGGCATTTTTAACTCAATGAAATACTTATTTTCTTTTTTTTTGAGATGGAGTTTAACTCTTGTTGCCCAGGCTGGAGTGCAATGGCACAACCTCCGTTCACTGCAATCTCCACCTCCCACGTTCAAGCAATTCTCCTGCCTCAGCCTCCTGAGTAGCTGGGATTACAGGCAGGTACCACCATGCCCAGCTAATTTTTTTTTTTTTTTAGTAGAGACGGGGTTTCACCATGTTAGTCAGGCTAGTCTTGAACGCCTGACCTCAGGTGATCCACTAGCCTTGGCCTCCCAAAGGGCTCGGATTATAGCCGTGAGCCACCATGCCTGGCTTTCTTTTCTAGGAGACATTGTCTTACTTTGTTACCTAGGCTGGAGTACAATGGCATGATCACCACTCACTGCAGCCTCAACCTTCCAGGCTCAAATGATCCTCCCACCTTAGACCCCACCAAACAGCTGGAACTTACAGGCACATGCCAGCATGCAGGGCTAATTTTTTATTTTTGTAGAGATGGTATTGCCATGCTTCTCAGGCTGATCTTGAACTCCTGGTCTCAAGCAATCCACCTGCCTCAGCCTCTCAGTGTTAGGATTATAGGCAGGAGCCACTGCGCTCAGCCCTACTTAAAACCAATTCATTTTTTCCTAACTTTTCTTCCATGTAACTTGAAACAGCGCCGGGCGCAGTGGCTCAAGCCTGTAATCCCAGCACTTTGGGAGGCCAAGGGGGGTGGATCATGAGGTCAAGAGATCGAGACCATCCTGGTCAACATGGTGAAACCCCGTCTCTACTAAAAATACAAAAAATCAGCTGGGCATGGTGGCGCATGCCTGTAATCCCAGCTACTCGGGAGGCTGAGGCAGGAGAATTGCCTGAACCCAGGGGGCAGAGGTTGCGGTGAGCCGAGATCGCGCCATTGCACTTCAGTCTGGGTAACAAGAGTGAAACTCCGTCTCAAAAAAAAAAAAAGAAACAGCAAATATATTTTGCATACAATTGATTAAGTATGCTCATCATAGTCTCAAAGGTCCAACTTCCTATGTTTACCTGTTCTATTCTGCTTTCTTTTATACACACCAGTAGCTAGAGAAATAATCGAAATATAAAGAGGAGAGGAAAAAGCAGGGTTGGACATATTGTAATTATTGGAGATCAGCTGATATAAGTAGCAGAGTCAGCCAGCCAGCCAGCCAACAGACATCTATTGAATGAATTGATTCATAGCCTAAATACTGTAATTTCTAATTCTGAATATATTTCTTTTTTTTTGAGACAGAGTTTTGCTCTTGCTGCCCAAGCTAGAGTGCAATGGTGCGATCTTGGCTCACCACAACCTCTGCCACAAGGTTCAAGCGATTCTCCTGCCTCAGCCTCCAAGTAGCTGGGATTACAGGCATGTGTCACCATGCCCGGCTAATGCTGTATTTTGTTAGTAGAGATGGGGTTTCTCCATGTTGATCAGGCTGATCTCGAACTCCTGACCTCGGGTGATCTGCCTACCTCGGCCTCCCAAAGTGCTGGGATTACAGGCATGAGCCACCGCGCCCGGCCTGAATATATTTCAACTATGATAAGCTGGAGTACTTTACTTATTTAATAGTGGTACTCACATACTTCACAATAGGCTCTGAAGTCAGGCTGCCTCAGCTCAAATCCTAACTCTATACTTGCTAGCTATGAGACTTTAGGTAACTTCCTTAATTTCTCTGTATTACAGGTTATCCAGCTGAAAAATACGGATAACAGCAACTACAGAGCATGGGGTGGTAGCGAAAATTAAAAGAAATACTACATATGAAGCAATTACAATGATGCTTAGGCATACAGGAAGTGTACAATAAATGTTTTATATTATATATATACACATATACATTTATTGTTGTTGTTGAGATAGAGATCTTGCTCTATTGCCCAGGCTGGTCTTGAATTCCTAGCCTCAAGCAATCCTCCTGCCTAGGCCTCCCACAGCACTGTGATTACAGGCATGAGGCACTGTGATTACAGGCATGAGCCACTGTGCCTGGCCAATATATTTAAAGACAATATTAGACTCTAATTTTTTAATTTGAGGTGATAGGAAAATAGAAATGAGTAATGACTGCTTTGGTTTTAAAATAAACCACGAGTGGCCAGTTGCAGTGGCTCACACCTGTAATCCCAACACTTTGGGAGGCTGAGGCAAGTGGATGACTTTGAAACTAGCTTGGCCAACATGGTAAAACCCCATCTCTACTGAAAATACAAAAAATTAGCTAGGCATGATGGTGCACACCTGTAGTCCCAGCTAGTTGGGAGGCTGAGGCAGGAGATTTTCATGAACCCAGGTGGCAGACGCTGCAATGAGCCAAGATCACACTACTGCACTCCAGCCTGGGTGACAGAGCAAGACTCTGTCTCAAAAAAAAGCCAAGGGTGAGTTCAGGTGCAGTGGCTCACACCTGTAACCCCGGTACTCTGGGAGGCGGAAGTGGGAGGATCGCTTGAGGCCAGGGGTTCAAGACCAGCTTGGTCAACATAGCAAGACCCTTTTTCTAACAAAAAAACAAAACAAAACAAATTTAAAAACCCAGTGTGAATCAAAATAAGACATTTACAGCTCATAGTCTAAAATGCAGTCAAGAAGCATTACTTACAAGTGCAAAGGAAATTTCTGGATTAATCACTCTTTCCCTCCTTGACAATGAGGAAAGGGCCAGATTTCAAAAATAGTGCGTGGTGACTGAACACCAACAGTGACACCAACGAGGACACAAATAATATAGTAGTTTTTGCCTAATGCTACAGGTAATCAAGTTTGAGCATATCTAACTATAACTTCATTTTTAGAATAAGTAACAATGAATTAACTGTAAGTCCACGAATGTTAACAATAACATTAAAAAATGTACAAATACTTTTATTAAGATAAATACAATCTGGCTGGGTGCAGTGGCTCATGCCTATAATCCCAGCACTTTGGAAAGCTGAGGTGGAAAGATCACTTGAGGCCAGAAGTTTGAGAACAGCCCTAGAAAAATAGTGGGACCCCTGTCTCTACAAAAAAAAGAAAAAAAATTTAATTAGCTATGTGTGGCCAGACACAGAGGCTCACACCTGTAATCCCAGCACTTTGCGATGCCAAGTTGGGAGGATCACTTGAGGTCAAGAGTTTGAGACCAGCCTGGCCAACATGGCGAAATGCCATCTCCACTAAAAACACAAAAAGTAGCTGGGCGCAGTACCATGCGCCTGTAATTCCAACTACTTGGGAGGCTCAGGCAGGAGAATTGCCTGAATCTGGGAGGCAGAGGTTGCAGTGAGCTGAGATTGCACCATTGTACTCCAGCCTCGGCAACAGAGTGGGACTCCATCTCAAAAAATAATAATAATTAGCTAAGTGTGGTAGTGTGCACCTGTGGTTCCAGCTACTTGGGAAGCAGAGGCAGGAGGATCACTAGAGCCCAGAAGTTTGAGGTTGCAGTGAGCTATGACCATATCACTGCACTCCAGCCTGGGTAACAAAGGCAAGACCCTGTCTCAAAAAAAAAAAAGAAAAGAAAAAGAAAGGAAGCAAGGAAGGGGAAGGAAAAGGGGAAGAGGAAGGGAGAGGGAGAGGGGAAGGGAAAGGAAAGGAAGAAAGAAAGAAGAAAAAGAAATAAATAGATTAAAGAGATCTGAAATCTGGACAATCATGTGAATATATTATAATTTGGGATGGCTATAAACAAATATAATATATATATATATTTTTAATTTAAAGACAAGGTTTCCCCACGTTGGTCAGGCTGGTCTTGAATCCTGACCTCAGGTGATCCGCCCGCCTTGGCCTCCAAAGTGCTTGGATTACAGGCGTGAGCCACCACGCCCAGCCAAACAAATATAATCTTACCTTGTCCTGTAACTATGACAGCTATTCCTTTTTCCAGTTCTTCAATACCTTTCTTATACCATTCCACAGCTTGCTCCTTCTGTCCTGCTTTAAAATAAAAATAATTATTTGTATAGATCATGAGTATGAAGAGTACACTAAACATTGCAAAGCATGCTGTTGATAGATAACACATAAAAAATAGGGTTGTAAACAAGGAAGTCTGAGAAACATTACTACGTAACTTTTTAGTACTTTTATCATCGTAATGTGTGTATTATGATGGCTCCAAGATGGGGAATATGGTCACAATGTTTATCAACATTTTAGGGCCATGGGTCCTTTTTTCTTATCATCTCATAGTATTGATCCTTATAACCACTAAAATGCTGTATTAAAGACATTTTATTTAGGAATTTTTAAGTATATACACTTTTGAAAAATACAAATATGATTTCAATAACAATGAAACAAAAAGCACTGTTCCATCTCATATTCAAATCTAATATAATGTGTTCATTGTTAGGTGCCTTCTCTCTAAAGTAAGTTTTTATTTAACAATTGATTGCATCATGAGAACTGGTATATTAGATTACAAGTGTAGCATTTAGTAACACATTTCTATTTTCTTTGAACTAAACAACTAGTTTAAAACATTAATTCCTAATGCAAGTTAAGCTTTAAATGAATCTAAAAACTCAGCATAATCAAAAAGTATATAGAACAACTTCTGTAATCGTTATACTCAAATCACACTGTATTTGAAAATTAATTTTTTGTTTTATTTCTATCATTTTTGACCATTTGTCTGAATGCAAATTAATTTCTTAGTCTGTCTTTTTCCTTTTTTTGAGACAGAATATCACTCAGTCACCCAGGCTGGAGTGCAGTGGTGCTCTCTCTGCTCACTGCTCCGCCTCCCAGGTTCAAGCAATTCTCGTGTCTCAGCCTCCAAAGTAGCTGAGATTACAGATGTGCACCATCACACCCAGCTAATTTTTGCATTTTTAGTACAGACAGGGTATTCACTATGTTGGCCAGGCTGATCTTGAACTCCTGACCTCAGGTATTCTACCCATCTTGGCCTCTCAAAGTGCTCAGATTACAGGCTTATAGGTGTGAACCACTTCGCCCAGCCTTGTTTTTTTTAAACAGAGTCTTGCTGTCACCCACATTGGAGTGCAGGGGCACGATCCTAGCTCACGGCACCCTCCAACTCCTGGGCTCAAGTGATCGATCCTCTTCCCTCGGCCTCCCAAGTAGCTAAGACTACAGGCATGTGCCACCACATTTAGCTAATTTTTTTGTGGTTTTTTTTTTTTTTTTTTTTTTTGTAGAGATAGGGTCTTACCTGTTGCCCAGGCTGGTCTTGAACTCCTAGACTCAAGTAATCCTCCTACCTTGGCCTCCCAAAGTGCTGGGATTACAAGCTTGAGCCACCACACCTGGCCTCATGTCAAACAAAAATTTCCATGCCATTCCTTACTATGACTTAAAATTTCAAATTCAATATAATATGATGACTCTTGATAAAACAGATGAAGTCGTCTTATAAACACCACACAAAGCGACTAAGAAATGCTTTCTCCTTATGAGTACATACTACCTACCACATTCTTCTGTTTCTTTATCCTGAAAATAAATGACTAACTGGATTCACCCCCTTAAACAGGGCAATTTCTTACTTATTATAGAATTATCAGTATTTCATACTGTGCCTGATTCAGAGTAGGTGTTCAATAAGTACTTGATAATGACATGTAAAGAAAAGTTTATGAAGATCGGGCACTGTTGGCCCATGCTTATAATCCCAGCACTTTGGGAGGCCAAGGCAGGAGGACTGCTTGAGCCCAGCAGCTCAAGACTAGCTTGGGCAACATGGTGAGATTTTATCTCTACCAAAAAATTAAAAAGTTAACCAGGATTAAGAGTGCACATCTGTGCTCCTATCTACCTGGGAGACTGAGGCAAGAGATCACTTCAGCTGGAGAGGTGAAGGCTGCAGTGATTACACCACTGCATTTTAACCTGAGCAACAGAGCAAGACCTTGTCTCAGGAAAAAAAAAAAAAAAAAAAGGAAGAAAAAGAAATTAAGAGTTTGTTATAAATTAACTAAAATTATTTGGATGCTCGCCTTCCTGTTTTCCACAAAGAAAATACCTATTTACATGTATTTTTGCTGTTTTTAATTGGAAAAAGGGAAAATTACAGAAAATAGTATAATAGCATTTGTACTGACTGGCAAAAATAGTGATAACAACGTCATATTTGGTTTAAAATTTTAAAAACAAGGTGAGTAAACTGTAACAGATACAACCTAAGTTCCTTTTTTAGTACCTCTTCCCATTCCCATGCTCCTTCTCTTCTAAGAAACCTCTACCAAAAATTCAGTGCATGGCCGGATGCAGTGGCTCATGCCTGTAATCCCAGCACTTTAGGAGGCCGAGGCGGGCAGATTACAAGGTCAAGAGATTGAGACAATCCTGGCCAACATGGTGAAACCACACCTCTACTAAAAATACAAAAATTAGCTGGGTGTGGTGACACGCACCTGTAGTCCCAGCTGCTCAGGAGGCTAAGGCAGGAGAATCGCTTGAACCCAGGAGGTGGAGGTTGCAGTGAGCTGAGATTGTGCCACTGCACTCCAGCCTGGAACAGAGTGAGACTCCATCTCAAAAAATAAAAAAAATAAAAATAAAAGAATTCAGTGCATATCTTTCTAGTACATGTTTTTATCATCCTTATCTAAATTAGTGTGATTTTTAAAAATTTACATTTCTTTTGAGATCTAGCTATGCTGCTATATATAGATCTAGTTCATTCATTTTGACTTCTGTACAGTAACCTGTATCATTCTGTGATTTATAATTTATTCAACTATGTCTTATTTTCTTTTTTTGGAGACAGTCTTACTCTATCACCCAGGCTGGAGTACAGTGGCATGATCTCAGCTCACCTGCAACCTCCACTTCCCAGGCTCAAGCGATTCTTGTGCCTTGGCCTCCAGAGTAGCTGGGATTACAGATGTGTGCCACCACACCTGCCTAATTTTTGTATTTTTAGGAGAGACAGGGTTTTGCCATGTTGGCCAGGCTGGACTCAAACTCCCAACCTCAGGTGATCCTCCTGCCTTGGCCTCCCAAAGCGCTGGGATTACAAGCATGAGCTGCCACACACAACCTCAACCATTTTTTCGATTATTAAAAGATACTGAGATTGTTTCCAGTTTTTCAGTATTTCAAACAATGTTGTAACCTTCTTATACCGGTCCCCTAATGCATACTTGCCAGTTTAAGACATATGCTTAAAAAATAAAAGTGATTGCCGGGCGCGGTGGCTCAAGCCTGTAATCCCAGCACTTTGGGAGGCCGAGGCGGGTGGATCACGAGGTCAAGAGATCGAGACCATCCTGGTCAACATGGTGAAACCCCGTCTCTACTAAAAATACAAAAAAATTAGCTGGGCATGGTGGTGCGTGCCTGTAATCCCAGCTACTCAGGAGGCTGAGGCAGGAGAATTGCCTGAACCCAGGAGGCGGAGGTTGCGGTGAGCCGAGATCGCGCCATTGCACTCTAACCTGGGTAACATGAGTGAAACTCCATCTCAAAAAAAAAAATAAAATAAATAAATAAATAAATAAAATATAAGTGATGAGTCATAGTTTGTCACACTTTCACTATTCACCAGAAATCAACAAAGTGCTTTTTAAGATTGCTTATCCCAGCTGGGTATGGTGGCTCATGATTATAATCTCAGAACTTTGGGAGACCGAGGTGGGTGAATCACCTGCGGTCAGGACTTCAAGAGCAGCCCACAAAACATGGTAAAACTCCATCTTTACTTAAAATACAAAAATTAGCCGGACATGGTGGCATATGGCTATAGTTGGAACTACTCAGGAGGCCGAGGCAGGAGAATCGCTCAAACCTGGGAGGCAGAGGTTGCAGTGAGCAGAGATCGTGCCACTGCATCCAGCCTGCTCAACAGAGAATGACTTCATCTCTATCTATCTGTCTGTCTGTCTGTCTGTCTGTCTGTCTGTCTGTCTATCTATAGTAGGCAAAGAGTAAAATATAAATTTGGCCAAAAATTTGAGACATAAATGGCAAATAAGTGTAAGAAAAGATGCTCAACATCATTAGCTGTTAGGGAAGTACAAATTAAAACCACAAGATACGACAATGCAGCTAATTTTGAAAAACAAAAAAACAAAAGAACACGAAAATACCAAAATATGGCCAGGTGTGGTGGCTCATGCCTGTAATTCACACACTTTAGGAGGCCAAGGAGGGTGGATCAAGAGGTCAGGAGATTGAGACCATCCTGGCTAACACGGTGAAACCCCATCTCTACTAAACATACGAAAAATTAGCCGGTTAGCTGGGCGTGGTGGCATGCGCCCATAGTCTCAACTACTTGGGAGGCTGAGGCAAGAGAACCACTTGAACCCAGGAGTAGAAGGGGTTGCAGTGAGCCAAGATGATACCACTACACTCCAGCCTGGGCAACAGAGTGAGACAGAAGAAAGAAAGAAAAGAAAAGAAAATACCAAAATATTACAAGAGAAGGAGTAATGGACGTTTCATGTATTTGCTGGTAGGGAATAAAATAGTACCCAGTTGGAAAAAGAGTTTGGTAGTTTCTTATGACATTAAATATATATTTATCATATAAGTCAACAATCTCTTCCTCTACTTATTTATGCAGGAGAATGAAAACTTCTAAGACCTCTACATGAATTTACAGTATCTTTATGCATAAGAGTTAAAAACAGGAGGTCAGGCGTGGTGACTCATGGCTGTAATCCCAGCACTTTGGGAGGCTGAGGCGGGTGGATAACTTCAGGTCAGGAGTTAGACCAGCCTGGCTAAAATGGTGAAACCCCATCTCCACTAAAAATACAAAAATTAGCTGGGTGTGGTGGCGGATGCCTGTAATCACAGCTACTCAGGAGGCTGAAGCAGGGAGAATCACTTGAACCTGGGAGGCAGAGGTTGCAGTGAGCTGCGATTGTGCCACTGCACTCTAGCCTGGGCAACAGAGCAAGACTCCATCTCAAAAACATTTAAATAAAAAATAAACAACAATAGCAGAAAACAACCCAAAT